AAAAAAAAATTTGGGCAATTAATTCAACACACAAGATTTGCGACAGCAAAAATTTTACTGATAGAAAGTAGGCAACCTTAAAAAAGGGGCGTGGCTTCGCTATAATTACTAAAGACATACCATGCTGGAGGATCTCCGTTACTGTCAAAGTAGATGGATTGTTTGAATTGATCTTCATAGGTGACGTTTAGCAGATACTGATAGAGCAGTGTACCATTTCTTGACAGCATTTCCGTGCACAAAGTGGAATTATCACTGAAATTACGCCTCACAAGTACAAATTCGACCAAATGAAGAAAATTACAAATTTTGCAAAAATTTATGTAGTAGAGCCAAAGAGTGAGAGGAAAAAATGCCCACCGACAGCGATCCTGATACATAGATTTTAAACCATAAGCTACCACTTTTATAGAGTTTATGACTTGGGAGAGCTTTGGATCCTAGAAAATATCGTTTACAACGAAAATCTTGCCAGCTCTAAAAATACCTCCTTGTATTCCTTGTCCAGATCCTCGTTACCAGTGCAAATTCGGATATTCTCGTTATTCTTATCCTCTTTTGAAACAGCAAATTGACAACCAAACTTTTGTTGCCAAAACTCTCGAAACCAGGGATTAATGGTGTTATTCTCAGGATTTAGCTGCGAGTAGTAAGCACGAAATCCAGGGACCTAAATGTGTAATTCATGCGGAAAAAAATCTATATAGACCATAATGATTTTTCCTATTATGGTAGAATCAAAGCAAGGAAATTGCACGCACTGCCGCGTGAATTTGCGACAATGCGGGAAGAAGAGACGCAGACAGTTAGAGAGATGGAAGTGCGTACGCGCGCGGATGCAACGCATGAACGGCGTGGAAATGTACCTTCGGAGCATGGATACGTATGCTAAAGCTGCCTTCAGCCTCATCTTCTAATCCTTCCACCACATCATTTCGATCTGCCCAACCATCAGAACCAATCCATTGGAACCTCTGATTGAAAAAAAATTCGCAAGAGTTTACCCAAATCGCAAAAAAAAAACTCGTAATTCCTTACTTTGAAGCTCTTTCCTTTCCGAATCAAATCTTTTTGCGCTTGGAAGAAGTTTCTGATGGTTAGACCTTCACAAAAGCAAACTACCACTTGTGGGCGGGATTTCTGGCTTGAAAGCTTCTTCAGAACCTGGAAGAAGATTATGAAAGCTCACAAAATAAGAAATATGTATTCACATTTCTATATTCAGCATCACCAGCCAAACTCTTGATCTTTTCCGAGTACGCTACACAAACTGCCGATCTCTTCTGCTCTAGAAGACGTTCTAGTGCTTCAAATCCTTTCTCACCGTAGTTTCCTGAAAACCAAAGACTTGCTGGTAATGTTTGACAATAACTATACGAGTGCGGTCGTGCGGCGTTAAGTAGAAGTATAAAATAAATGCCACAAAGATAGTAATCCCCGAGTATTCTTTAGTACATGCTAAAGTGTTTATACTCGGTTCATAGTCGCTTGAGGAAAACGTTACGCGACCGCACGCATGCACGTGATTATCGATTTGTCAGATTCATACCAGCTGAATATAGAACGGCAATATAAGTCCAATTGTAGTGATGTAAAAGTCGATTTATGGCTTGCGCTTGCCAAACATCTGATGGTACGACACTGAAACGAAGTATAAACAGGCTGTCTGTGGAACAAGAAAATCTGACTTACCGCATAAAGTAGCCAAATTGTTCTTTGTCGGATAAATCCGGTGTAGTGGCTGAATATCCTACTTGAGGAATGCGAAATACCTAAACATCAACAGATACAGATTCGTTTACTATCAAATGACACATGTATGAATTATTGATTGATAATAGCGTCACGTTTCAGCGCTCGCCCAGCGACGCGACAACCAATCAATAATTGAGCGAGTCGGTCACGCAGCGCAGATATTTTGTTCAACACGTTTGAGACATGTTTACCTGTAACAAATTCTGCACAGCAATGGTGGCCGAACTTTTGCCTGGTCCGACAATGGCGACTACTGGCACACTTTTCTTGTTGCAACCGGGCGTCTGACAACAACTGCATTGAGCGACACCTTCGCGAAGAAATGCAATCGTCTGTTCCATCGCTATTCGTTCGGTCCAACAGGAATCTCTGAAAACGCATTGATTTTCGCTCTACTCTTATCTATGGAAGGGGACGGTATATGTCTTCATATCCTGAAATTGCCTTTGAAGTTATGCCAACAGAACACCTGGTTGGTCAGTTCAGCGACGCAGACAACCCATGACTCGCGCCCACCGAGGCGTAGCGGATAGCAGTATCCGCGAAGATTACATGCTTCTAGTTCAACGGCGCTGTTGCAATTACAACTTGTGCGATTTTATACCGCTGTCCCAACCGCAACGCACCTATGGGTGAGAAACGTCATACCGCCATCCATCTGCGCGGACGACTGGCACAGGCTTTAATGATAGAAAATCATATTTTGTGGCAGATGCCTACGTTAGAGGTGCGTCTTGCGTCGTATTGTCCTCTATCATCTTACGTAAGACTTACCCCTTTGATTCCATAGCTCAAAGTTCTCATTCTCTACTAGCACGCAATTTTGTGTTACAACAAAGCCTGCAACCCCTA